ACTGATGAACATTGACAATGAAGAGCTCAGGTAAAGCAGACGCACGTACTCCTGCAGGAGAACGCTGCTCTATGCAAGATCACGTTTTTGAACTCAAAGGTTATCGAAGCCTTTGGACTCACTCCAGCTCTTCTCAAAATCACGGTAAAGTCCCTCTGACTGGCACAGCCGGAACTTTATAGGCTCCTTGAGCTCCAGTGCAGCAGCCTGGAGCCATGAGAGAGCAGTAAATACCCTTTGTCATCACTGTTTTTCTCATCAGACTTCCCTCCCACTTTCAGAGAGGAAAAAAAAAAAAAGAGGGAAAAAAGCCTTGTTAGTCTCACTACTTTCTGCTGGAGGCATTTTTATAAAATATTATTTTTTAACATCAGTAAAACTCAAGATTTCTCCTTGTTGAAAACTACTGTGATGATGGAAAAATTTTTTCTGGTTTGATAATGAGGTATATTTCCCCCCCCTTTACTCTCTTGACTCTTTAAATACATTTTATTAGTATAATCTATCCTCTTTATCTTGCCTCCCACACACAGAGAAAAATATCCCATAGAGAATAGTGTTCATATGCATTTATTAGTTACTATGAGTTTTATTACTGCACTTCATACTAAGGTTTAAAAATTTTAATCATGCATTGTCCTCTTAGAAAACACACTGCACACTTGCGTAATGAGTAGTTATCCTCTGAGAAAGCTCACTGAGCAAAAACATTGTAATTCAGCTGGCAGATATATGAAAGAATTTGCCCTGTAGTTAATATATTAAGGCCTTTAATGAGGATCTAGCATGAGAAAAAATAAGGCTTAATATTACTGTATGCCCACCAGCTTGAAGTTCAGGCCCACCAAGTGAGACAATATGATGTATTTTGAGTTAAAATTGCATTTAAAACCCTTCCCACAAAAGCAGCCAGGCACTTAACCAGCTGTGTCTGGAAAAGCATCCATTTTGTCCATATTCATCTGAAATTATGGTCAGCACTGCCAGTACAAAGGGAACCTTCATTAAAAAGGACTTGTTTTATTCCCACATAATAGATACAATGTTTTACATTTCATAAATTAGTCTTTAACTTTCCTGAACGATGTCTCTTTTATGAATGGTTCAGACATTAGCTGGGACCTGTCCTTTCTCCGGCATTTATTTGGAAATCACAGCTCACGATCACGTCAGTTGCTAATAACTCAAACAGCACACTTTTATGTATCTTGTTTACAAAGGGTTTTTTAAATATCACTGCTGTTCATTAGGCTTTATATACTATGATTAACACCCCTTCTCCTCAGCAATTAAGTAATTTATCAGATGATAGACATCACTGTGCAGGACCACCATATGCTGAAAAATTAGGCTCACTTCAACAGAAGCAAGTATCTCTGTGCTAATTATCACCAGTGATAGTTACGCATAATAATAAAAAGCTTTCTAGAAAGATAATGAGGCAGATTTTACTCTCAATAACACTAATGAAAATGCATAATCATTCTGGCACATCTGCAAAGCGGTTCTTCCAGATACACCTACCCACAGCTGGACTGCATTTATCCAGTAGAACAGATCTCTCGTCACTGCCTGGATCCAGAAGAGCTGCCCTCAGCAGTACAGCTGACTTCAAGCTTAGGGACACAATCTTTCACCTGTGATCTGAAACACAAGTTCAGTGATGGGTTTTTTTTTATGTGGTCCCTTGTGTCTAATAAATGATTTTTTTTTTAATAAATGTTCCATGTTTTCCACCTCCTCATCTGATGAGAAGGGGTAGAGGAACGGGGACACTTCTGCCAGTCAGAACAGAAATCCGGCCCCAGGGATACAAGCTGAACTCATTGCAGTTTTGCTCCTAAAGTATGGAATTGTGAGAAAGCCTTTTATTGGGGCAAATCACAGTTAAAATGAGATGTGGTGAAATTCTGCTTGCCATCATTTAGCTTGTCAATTAAAAAAATTATGTTTCCACATAAATTTTTCTAATCTTTTTTTGACACTTAGAATTCCACTGAAATACAAAGACGAAGGCACTCCTTTACTCTGGATATACTTCACAAAGCAACTCCCTGAGTGTTGCCACAGGCTAAGGATGAAGAATCAGCACAGCCTTTCATTTTTATAGTCTTTGATACAGCTCTTCACAAGGTATCACTAAGAAAAAAAACTGGAATTATGGGTTGCAATGGAAAGTTCAAGGGCAGCGATGTTATTTGAAAAGTTTAGTCAAATCTGCTTATTTCAGCAACCACTGTTCAGCGGCAGGTATGACTGTCCCATGCAAATCACTAGCCGTGAGTTTCAGTGGCTGTTTGCCTATGCAAGACAAGATGAACCCAACCGATTATAATCACTGCTTCCCTCCTCTGCAGTAGAAATTTGCGCTGTGACACACGATACCAGCTGCTGGACACTGGCTACTGTAATAAAAGTTAATTTGCAGGATGGTATGGGCTGAGTTAATTTTCAACGTGGCAAAATGCTAACAGTTGACCCAACCTTAGGCCAGTGTTGTTTCATCAGCAAACTGAAAAAGGAAGTCAGTCATGAGTCATATAAAATGCTGGAGATGACAGACAATTACTTAGATTAGTCAAAGCCACAGGAGTCTGGAGGGATATTAGAGTAACATAAGAACATGAAGCAAAGCAGCACACTGGCAGATGGAATTCTTTGTACCTAAAAAAAAAGAGATTAGGGCATTTACCTGGAAAGAAGGTATGAGTCAGACAAAGTGGAATAGCTTCACTAAGTGACCGAAAGAAACTTCCATGGCCTTCTCCCTTCCTCTTCCCCTCCCAGCCCTCCAGAATACTCTACAGCTTGCTCACCAGGAAACCCTGCCAGAATTATGGATGGTTTAGGTTAAATTTCTGTGTCATATCAGGTAGATGAGAGATTAAAACCCAAGCCTCTGATATTTCACTGAGTACCCAAGCAGTAAGCCCTTGGACTTTGAATTATGTTCTTATGCAAGAAAAGAAAGAACATGTGGAGCAGCCGCATTGTGAAGGGTGGCAGTGGCCACCGCGGCGTCCTGGATGGAGCCCGGTCCATCAAGACAGCTCTTGCCGAGCCCCTGAGGGGGCACGAGCAGCAGATTATCAAAGCCTTGGATCCCTTCCAGGGCACTATCTGGGTATTGCATTGCCCAGGATACGTCTTGATGTGTGACCAAGCACCCAATTCTGAGACCAAAAAGTATCATGAGATGGAGCTGCTTGCAGATTTTGGGCTCCCTTTAAATTCCAGGTCCATTTCCCTATGCCACCCCAAGATACTCCTATGAGAGTCAAAGACACAGTGAGGTGAGGAGTAATAGCCCATTTCTCAGACATGTTACCAGAGATTATACCCCGCAGTGATGCTGTTAAAAGATGGCTATTCTCTACAGTTAAAAACAGTGTTTAAATTGAACTTTGTCTTCTGAAACAGGCCTGTTTTTTTTAAGCCATGGTCAGAAAGCTACAACAAATGCAGCTGGGGACCCCCAGATGATAGCACCAGGTATGTAAAAATGTTCAGAGGGACACTCTGGGCTGCTGCTCTAAGCAGCATGGCCAAAATTCACAGCCCCAGGGAAGGAACACGGGCAGCATCCACGGGTAGGGTGGCCAGTCTCCCCCTAGGGAGGTTAGACTGTCCCCATTTCTGTTTGAAGGCTGGTTACCAGAGAAAAGGTTTGGTATGGGACACACACTCAAAACTGTATCACTAGTTATTTGCAATTTTCTGTCACAGAGCGTGCTCATTCATCCACACTAAGTGATATGTCAATTGAAACACGGTTTTTTGAGATCAAGAACCAGAAATGGAGTGGTAGAAAGACTACAGCAAGCACAGCTGACTGCTTTAATTGAAAATCCAGCGGTGAGAGAAAAATCAGTAGGAAAAACAAATCTTGACTAGTTTTCTCATCGTGTTCCCTCTCTGAAAGCGGGGATAAAGCACACGCCTGAAATTTTCTAACTGAAAGCCAATGTCATTTCAAGCAGACAGCCCGCTACCCACACAAAAGCTCTTCGGGTAGTGCAACATCAAACAGGAGACCCAGCAGCAGACAATCAGCTTAACTAAGCACCCCTTTGAGAGCAGCTCTTTAGGGAGAGCCAGCTGAGCCACAAAAAACTGCTGGGGATGAATGACATCAATGCAATTTACTGGCTTTCTTCAAATAAAGACCTCAGCGTAAGGAAATGATTTAAGAGACAACTAAACTCTGTTAGAGTCATAATGAGTAAATAATAGGTTCCATTACAGATATTGGTGTATACAACTAATGCAGGATAATTAACAGAAGCATACGACAGAACAAGCTCTCTCTTTTTTCACAAAAACATTTTATTAACATTACTTATGAATTCATATTTAGAAAATATTGTAGGTGAAATTAATTGAAATTCAGACATGGCTCAAATACAAAACATAGAAGAAGGTGCAATAATACCACCATAGGCATAATCTACCATATGAAATACAATAGTGCCTCAAAAGAGGGATTACATGAGATTCTGCTTTTCTGCTTTAACAGCTACCGCATAAACACAAATATCAAGATCCTCAGCAAATGTAATCAGTGTAGCTCCATTAAAATCAATAAAAAGATGCTGATTTATGCCATAGGAGGATCTGGAGTGTAACTTAGCAGAAATTTCAAATGTCATGAAAAAGTAATGGCTACATTTTCGTTTTAATACTCAAGTAGCTTATTCACTGCCTTTGACAGAGGGTCTATCAAAGTACCCCTATTTCCAATTTTCTCTTGTGAGATGAGCCAGATTTAAGTTTGCACTTCTTTTACTGTTATGAAAGTTTCTGAAAGCCTTGACTATGAACATAACTGTAAAGGACAGTCTACTTAAATGATAGTGCCAAGTATGTAAAATAGCACAGCAATGACGTTCTGAACGCACTTTTGAAAGGTTGCTTATCTTTAGCAAGCAGAGGATGCCAAAAAAAATCCATGGTAGAGATTTAGGTTTGCACTCTCCTTAGTTATACTATGAGATGATTGATTTTTCAAATCTGAATTGATTTGTAACAGCTGAAATATCCTCCCAAGGCAGTAGTAACATTCCCCCATAAAAATATGGAAATCTAAATACCTGGCTCTGCCGAAGTATTACTGCAAAGACAACAGAGCAGAAGAACCAAACTTAGGTTCATTCTTCTTCTATTAAATGCAGTTCTTTATAAAAGTAAGTTGGAAATAAAAAGCAGTTCTGAAAGACAGAACTATGTCAGTGTATAAAACCGTGTGGAAACTATCTTACAAAAGAAGAAGGTGGAATCAAAAGGTGGTGTTTCAAACATCCAAGTGCACATCAGTTTTAAGACTTCGGGTTATACGGCTGAGGTTTTTTAATCAGTTTTCTCATCATTTTTCTGCGGAATACATTTGTTGGTTTGTCAATTCTTGGTTTCTGAGCCCCTGCTAAGAAAACAAAGGAAGCAGTTAGGGAAACAGTATGACAAAACTGTTACTACTCTTCATTGTTTGGGCTTTTTTTTTTTCATGTTACACTGTTTTAGCAGCTGAGCCAATAATAACAAACACATCAGAAACTGTAAAATGTGTTCTGGACACCCTATTCTCACACACTGTAAGGTCTCCAATGTGTCCACCTTTGGCACTGGAGTCCTACTTTGCTGCTCTTTTCCTAAGCAAGCATCAAAGTCTTTTCTAGCTATCCTGCAGTCACAGCAGAATGGAAGTAAACACACTGCTCTGTCTGAGAGAAAAAAAAAAGAAAAAAAAAAAAGAGAAAAAAAAATAGAGCTATTTCTACATTTCTCTGAACAACACTGGGGAAAAGTCTTGTGGGAGATGAAAAGCTGAAATGATTTGGGTTTCTGTACAGGACTGTGTTTCACACAAAAGCTACAGAGTGGCCAAAGACAGTCAGGGTTATCTCCAGGAATGCTTACGAAGGCCACATGAAATATGTGAATGCAGTTCAGAAAACAAGTACTTTGCAAACCTGACTGAAAAGCTTATGTCTTTATGCCACCTGTTTACCTGCACACAGGGCCCCTGTGGGCAGTTCCCAATCCTTTTGCTGTCACCCCAAGGTATTTATTCCGTTTTCCAATATAATTTTTTTTTAATGAAATGAATCAGAAACCTTTTCACTCCAAAAACTATAGATCAGTTCAAACAGCTGTTGCATATTTGCACAGGGAAGGTCAACTGAATTCAACTTGAGACTCCAAAAGGTAACAGGAAAGATGCTGGGGAGGGAATTATAGGAGCGGGAGAGAAGGAGTGGCTTAAGTTGCCTTTAAAGATTTGCTTAATGTTGCTGTACACTCCCAAGCTATAGAAATGAATACGTATAGCACAACATTAATTAGCACTAATTATGCCCTTAACTATGGGCTTTGGTTGTACCAAGCCTTCCTGAATTGTGAAATCCACGTTAGTGAAAAAGCTTACAACCGATCCTTTACGTTTGGCTACCTGGTGCTCCAGTTACGAGGCAGACAGCGTTTCCTTACTTCTTTCTTCCACAAAAAGAGCGAGGAAGAGAGAACCCCCAGGTGGGTCTGGTGGGTGCGGGCAGGGGCAGAGCGCGGAGGCGGTTTCCTCCCTCCTCTCTCTTTGCACTCTTGGGCTGGAGCCTGGCCCTACCATCTCCCAGGTACTACCAGATGCGAATTAGATAATCACATGCATCTAAGATAGACCTAGCATGCTATTAAAGGCTCCCCTACCATACTCAAATGGCAGAGACGCACTCAGACTTGTCACCCGCAGAAATATTACTGCCATGACTAACTGGCAGACAGTATTTTGACTTCTGAGGACTGTGCTTGGGGTGCAACCCTTGCTCCAGCCCTGGATTTCTAGCTCAGAAATGAAGAATCATCTCCTGACTTAAGCATCTTAAATCATAACGTGCTCAGGCCTTGTGCATATCTTATGTTTAAACCAAAGCTACTTTTCAGCTTTTTTTTTCCTTTGTTTCCAAAGTCAATGTACATGCTAGATACAGCCTTAATTTTTTTCCCCATTAGTATCAATTTTTTAAATATTGTGCTGTGACTGCTTCCTGAGTGCTCTGGAGGTCAACATTAATTATGCTTTTCTCTCTCTCATTGATTTACATATCAAATGAATTAAACTAAAGTATTAAAACTTGCAACAGATGGTATGAACATAGGACTGCTGGTAAAAGCACAACTATTTCGACCTACAAGCACAGCCAGTAGATGATTTGAATAAAACCATTAAGAAAAATCAATTATCATTCCCAACCCTTCCCCTCACAGCCACAGAAGCAGTTGACTCAGCACAACTGATGAGGCAGAAGTCTTCAGGAATGGGAATGGGAAATGGGAACAGGCAGTGGGGAATCAAGGGTGGATGTGAAGGAAAAAAAGCAAATTGATTTCACAATTCACTTTAATCCTACTTTAAAATATCTAGAAGGAAATGATACATTAATTAGCATTCATGCTGGTACCGAACAATTTAAAGACTGGTTCCTTGTGGGCTCCAGTAAATTAATTATTCTTTTTGTGTGCCCGTCTCTACACTTCATTCAAAAATGGTGTAATCAGCTCGCATCACACTGTTCTTGCCAGAAGGACTTAGTGTTGCATCTCAGTTTTCCCTGCCTTTGAAAACAGAGTCCAAAATGCAAAAAGCATACACCGGTACCAAGCCAAGGTGAGTAAAAGAACACCGAGAACACCTGTTATTTGGATTACTTTATCTGCTTATGACTGACAAAATACAAAAAATCTTACCTTTTCTGCAGACATTGTAGCAATCCATTTCAGTAACGAAGTTATTGGCATTTCCACCACAGCCAGTGTATTTGAACTCCTTACATGATTTAGTCTTGGTGTCATAGTAATAGCGAGACACAGAAGAAGAACACAATCCTTCATCCTTTGGGCTGTAGCATAGCAGGGGACCAGCTTGGAAAGAAAAAAAAAAAAAGAAAAAAAAAGGGAGAGAGAAAAAGACAAATTACATAAATGTAATATCTGCCTGGCTTCTTAAAATGTACCCTGCAATAAATTTTGTGGCTAAACAGCACCTGTTCCCATTGAACTGACATGAATGTTAGCTCAAACTTCAGAGGCGTACTACATCTTATTCCTGGGAGTTATGAATTTGAGAAAGCAACAGATAGTCTCAGAAAATAGGATTACTATCCCACAAGTGAAATTCATCAGCTTTCCCTATTTGTGGTGTCATGCATACAACAGCCGAGATATTCACAAAGTCTGGCCAGAAGTCATGTTCCATATACATAGGAATATAACAATAATTCCAGTATAACTCCAGTGGAACTACCTCTGAAGAGAAAAAAGGCACTATTTTATTTATCCTTGCTATGATTTTGCCAGCAAACCCTGCCTGCTTGCAGCAAAAAGTACAAAACCCACCAAGAATCATGTCTCATTTTGCCTTAACAAAATTTTACTTTTCTTGCTGGAGATCTTTTACCAATTTATGGATGTGCAACAGAGAAATGAAAAATAGTTCAGCATTCACCTAAGAAAATGCTGATTATCTGCCATCAGCCAAAAATAACTGTCTCATCAAGCGCTAATAAAGCTTAGCCACTGACAGCTTTTACACATTCTGGTAGATCTCTCTTCTTCAAAGATCCTGTCTTGCACTGGATATTAACCTGGTGTTTATGACAACACTTTGGTATAGTCACCTGCTTATAATTACTATCTTTCTTCTTTAAAGTTCAGATGGAGAGACAGTAAAGAATCATGTCAGGCAAAAAAACTTTTACCAGCTGAGCTGTTGAGTGCGGAAAAACCCAAGCCACCTATTACCATCTCTCAGGCCTCAATTTTAGAAAGGCACTTCTGCTTTATAGTAGGCTATCACCACCGTGAACGTGACTGCCACACGTCTCATCCATCTGCCTCAACACAGAACTCCCAACCTTATTTCCCTTCAAATAACATATGTACAGCTCTCTAGAAGTCACGAGATCGGTTGAGTGTAGCTGTGGGGACATTTAAGGTCACAAAATTAAACTAACACAGCATTTTGCTCTTTCAGTAACAGCTGAGGCAAGTGACACTGGAAAGTCTGTAGACAATATAAACATCTGCTTCACAAAAGTCTTCAAAAATACCACTGTACGGGTATCCAGAGGAAAATATCAAATAAAATATCATCTTCATATCACTTTCAAACCATCTATTTTATTAAAAATTCGGAACAACCATTACTTTTCTCTGGGAGACAGTGGTCCACACAAGACTGCAAATCTCTGAAGTTGTTGCCATTTCCGTAACAGCCACCGTAAATGAACTCCTCACACCTCATTGAGCTCAAGTTAAAGGCGTATCTTTTTAGATGACTCCTGCAAGGTCCTCCATCAGCCTCCATCCGGCATAATTTGGGCACTTCTGCAACAAAAATAATTTCACCCTCTGTAAAATCAACCCTTCACGCTCCCCGTACTCAACAACACGGTACAGCAGCCAAAACACTATTACTCCGGTCGCGGGCAAGTCCCAGCTTGTCCCCACTACATGCGCTCTTTAATAAAGTGGGATAAGCTTTACAGGAGGAATCTGATGCATTAATTAGCAACTTGTTATAATGCTAAATTACATTCAAAATATTAATAGTTAAATTCCGCATGTGGCCTCTGAGACGACTCGCTCTGCTTTCTCTGTATCAAATTGACATCAGCCGGCCAGTCGCGACAGGCAGGAGGGACAGAACGGGGGGGGGCGCCGGCACCCGCCCCCAGG